CTTCCTTTGGATCGAAGATACAAAGCAGCATGGCCTCCAACCAAACCAGTACCGCCGATGACGAGGGTTTTTGTTGCCATGTTCTAGCGAGTGAGATATGGTCGTGATTCGCGTTGCTGTTGATGTTTCCATATCGTACGTCCTGACTAGAGGAGAGAATATTCATCGTCTTATATTTCTCTCTACGAGGACATGTCCTCCGTGCTTGCTCGAATAATTTGTGCTTCATCACATCATTACATACACCTGATAGACTTGCTTGAAGCTCGATTTATAAGCCGAGAGAGAATTTCAAAGCTTCAATCGTGTCGATACTAGGGGGGATGCTACAAAGTGTCGCGGGAAGCGCGGAAGCCGCGCGCCGGGATTAGGATCCCGCAGTTAGTTAGATGAGATGAAGTGCAAAATGTAATCATCGCAGCGACAAATTCCAAAAGTAGGATCTTGGCATTTTCAATTTTTCAACATGACAGCTTGGCTGGTATTTCCGCCTATTGCTATTTGTCATTGATCGCCCCATCGGAGAGACACATTGGCCGGCAATCCTCTGAGGAAACCAATGACCCTGACACTAGTAGCTTTAGGATTCCATGTCAAATCTCCTCTCGACCCTGGAAAAGGTATCACAGGCAACAAAAGGCTTTGGTGACCTTCCGTTCCGCGTAGCAGCGCATCTGATCAGAATATATTAGACCCTCGCATCACTGCAGATAATCAGTATAGTCGCAGATGAGCACGAAGATGCCGAGAAGGGCTGATAAAGAGAGGAGCCTCAAGAGGACATGCGTTGATATGCCTTGTTTTACAAGCTATTCCCATACGTTGGCACGGCACGGATAGCTAGCTGGAGAAGGCTCAGCTAACTGGGAGGCAATTTCTTACGGAACAAGTAGTGATGAATTTTCGCAAAGCTGCTTGCTGGAGGACTCACACAATGTTAGTTTACAGGCAATTACTAGTATGTCGGCGAAGTAAGGATATTTAGAGGAAGACATGAGTGACTTCAAACCGGGGCGTTTGAATAACAAGGATCAAAGAAGCTCTTTTCGGATAAAACAGCTGACTAGGGTCTTGAGTTTGTGCAACCAGATACCCCATAGAGACTAAAGATGTACCAGTTGGAAGGGGTGAAGCTCCAATTACATTCAGCATCATACCTTAGTATCACTTCATTGGCAACCGTTCATGCCACCCTAGTTAACAGCTGAAAACTCCTCTCTGCCGTCCCCTTCAATGGTAGAACAGAAATACGAATACGGCCCGAGTTCAAATCGTCGTTAATCAGTTCCAGCTTAATTGCAGTGAACCAGACTTATGTATGAGCTTTGACCATTGAGCCCGAACGACTCGCACATCACCCGAGCCGCTGCCGTCTTTGCCGGTCGACGGGAGCAGAGTACCAGGCGCGCTCCTTTATCACTTAATGCCTTGCTGACCCGCGTTTGGGTTGATCAGTCCTCCTATCTTACGGAAAGATTGGATCTAGATTAAGATTGGAGTCCTGCTGGTTCACAACATAGCTCTACCTCACTGTTGGCGTATTTTGAGCGTCATTTCCCAAGTTTGGTTTTGTTGGTAAGGGAAACTTTCATCAGGTTTGCCAATTGCCGTGCGCATCTCTCGCGGAACGAGGAGCCGTCATTTCCAAACATAGTAAGGATAGTGTGATTCGGGGCACATCAAGTACGGCGTGCATGCCGGTAGAGACTCAAGAATACGACGCAGATCGGGTACGATGCCGAGCATGTAGGTGTACCGAAGGCGCAATACAACGTAAGCACTGCGATCCAGCTGCATGTGCTTAATGAATCCAATGCCGAGCCGCCTGTCCCAGATCAGCCGGTCACCTTCGGTACCGTAAATTTACACTATGCGGTTTAGTCTGGGGGCTTCTCCACACTCTCCGTAGTAGTGTACATGCCGCCAGAATGCGACAGTCTCAGGGAGCATCAGGGGGTTGCAGGTTGACAGCTTGCGGGGGAACCCTTGAACCATTGCCGCTCTAAAGAGCCATCGCCTGCTGTAGCATGAGTCTAACGTCCTGCTTCGTCACAATGATCCGGCCGAGGGGGTCGAACCAACTCTGCCTTTATCCATCTCCTCATTCAAACAAAGTGTCCGCCCATAGAGTTTTGCCTAAATTCCCTTGCCTCGGAAGATGGTATGTTTCGTCCAAATGAGAATATGGACATCAAAAGTTTAGCTCACAGGAGAATTGGGCACGCCATGTCTCGTTATAGTAGTAGTAGTAAACACACCATGTCTCGGTGGTTGATCTACATACGTCTCGAGATGCCAAGAGAATTGTATAAGATCAATGTTCACCTGCGCCGATTGCCGAACTCTTGGCAGCCTTGAACCAACCGATTTTTACTTCGTCCACTTTGGCCTTTTACTTTCAAGATGGTTTCCATTCGCTCCCTCATCTTGAGCCTCTCGACTATTTCTACATGCCTCGCTGCCCCGGCGATCGGGCCAGCTGAGTTGCTGCCTCCTCATGTTGAGCGACGAGGCCCTTCCGACTTCTTCCTGGGACCCGACCACCCCCTCATGCTCGCACGCCGCAATGAGTCTCTCGAAAGACGAGGCATGACTCTTGAGGAGCGCACCAACTACGTCCAAAACTACCAAACTGGCGGCACTGTCAACTTCACTCCCTCGGGCAACAGCTTCAGTCTCACCTTCGATACCACAGACGACTTCGTTGTCGGCGTCGGTTGGAACCCGGGTTCTACCGCCCCCATCACTCACTCCGGTTCATTCGCAGTTACCAAGGGTCTTGCGACCCTTTCAGTCTATGGCTGGACTACCAATCCGCTTGTGGAGTACTACGTCATTGAGGACTCTGCCGGATACACTCAGACCGGGACGAAGAAGGGCACCGTGACCAGTGATGGTGGCTCTTATACCATCTGGGAGAATGTGCGCACCAACGCCCCATCGATCCAGGGCACCCAGACCTTCAACCAATACATCTCGGTTCGCAACAGCGGTCTTACAAGCGGTACGGTGTCTATTTCCAACCACTTCAATGCTTGGAAGAGCTACGGTATGAACTTGGGTACGCTCAACTTCCAGGTCATTGCTGTCGAAACCTGGAATGGTGCTGGCTCGGCAAAGCAGACCGTTACCAACTAGGTACTCCATGGCTTTCCATTTCGCCCGTATGCTGAGGCCAACTTATTTGCAATTCATTCAACATCGGAAGGCACTTAAGAGAGCTGTCAGCCTCAGAACACCGGGTTACCTTCTATCGTATCTATTTTCTTCTGGGTCACGTTATGGCCAAGTGTCAAATACATTCTGTCACATACATATTTGCAGAAAAACATCAACCTTGAGGGTTCACTGGCCCTGTTTTCTCGATTAGAGTCTATGTGTCCTGAAAAGTCCATTTTCGACATTTCGGCCCTGACTCCAAACCCTCGTTTCATACCTACATGCCTAGCCACCGTTGGCTTAGAAAGTTTTCAGGTTTTCAAACTGTTTGCAAGATGTCTCTGACATAGTTTTCGAAGCTTGTGAACTCCACGTCTGGATACAATTCCCTCGCATCGAGATACCCAAGATAGCGTGCATACTCAGGGGTATTCTCGCCTCGGATACCAAGCAGATTTCGATACTCTGCCATACCAACCTTAGGGTTGATTACAATGTCCTTGCCTGTTCGAGCCCGAGAGATGACGCCTTGCACCTCTTCTTTGGTTATCTGAGTCATTTGTTAGTTTTCTATGTTTTACAAAAGATGAGGATCCAGTGTGCGTACGAATTCCCGTGTCAGCGTTTCTCCGGACACCTTCTCGAGAACGTCGAAGGCTTCATTCTGTGTCATGACTTCCCCGTATGCAAAGACCATCTTGTTCAAGGTTCTCTGGTCGGCGATGATTCGGCTGACAAAATTGCCAATGTCACGATTGTTGGTCAGTGCCCAACGAGTGTTGCCGTCCCCGATCACACGCGTTGTGCAGTAGTCTTCTACCATTGGGCGAAATCTGCCTGAAGGTACAGCAGGCAACGTCAGCTGATACCACCATCCAACGTCGATGATGGTGTAAGGCAGATGGAGGTCCCAGATACGGTCGACGAACTCCTGTTTCTACGATGCCGGTGTTCGAATTAGCAAGAGTCTCAACAACAATTTTGAAAACACTTCAGATGGAGTATGGTTATTCTTCGATGCCCTACCTTATCCCTGAGCATCATGACGCCCCGGGGTGCGCAGGCGGGGCCCCAAAAGCTTGGAATGTATCGACCAACTTTCGCCTTGCTCGATGCTTCGATAAGATTCATCTCCTCCTGAAATGTGAACAAGGTCAAGCACGAGATGACGACGTCCATGTTAGTGAGGACTCCGGAAATTGCCTCGATTGGCCCATCTAGCTCGATTGCCTTCACATCAACGCCTCGCTTTGTGAAGTCAATAAGCTCAGGCTTCTTTATCGAGGTGGGTCTCGATAGAGCTGTAACTTCCTGTCGCCAAATGAGTTAGCTGTGCCTATATTCCAAGTGTAGAGATCCAACGAAATCCAACCTACGAAGAGCTCGGGACTTTTCAACAGCGCATTTACAATGGAAGAGCCTGTGTTCCCAGTAGCGCCGGCTATGGCGACTTTGATTTTGTTGGCCATGATGTCGTCTGAACGTTCTTCGTCTCTCGAGTATGTGGCAAAGGGATTGAATGACACTGTCTTAGGTAGATGATTACTACCATTCACAGGCAATAGGTTATGGTTAAATAGACACCATTTGAGTCCGCCGAAGTTTTACTACTCGGAGACATAACAGGCTTGCTTGACTTCATCCAGGCGTAATTATAGACCGAAGTGGTGAAATGGTAGCTTGTCTCAAGTTTTGGAGTCGTGGGATTCGGCCGAAAATCCGTCGAATGCTTGTCGGGGGCCGCGTCGGGTTGCGACTAACAACCCGAACGGAACACATATTCATAGTCATTCAGTTAGCGCCAGGATTAGTGTAGTAAGAATAAGGGCCCTGGCTATGGAGTCCATGTTTCGATATCTGATGTCATCCGCGAACGTTGCGGAGCTCTTCCATAATGTATTTTCATTTCTATTCCATCCAGTCATCACTCCCCGCCGCAGCATTTCTTGCCCCGATGTGCCAAAGTACCTTTCGCATGATCTTGTCACTGCATCAATAGACGCCGTGTGACTTTAGAAAAAACAAAAAGCGGAAATACCGCCGTTCGTGAACTTTAAGCACATCCGTCATTAATTGAGTGAGATCTCCTTCTCGTACCCCTTGCACTTGCCTAACATGAAAGATAAGTAGGAGAATTACTTCGTTGGAAGTCATGGTACAGACGGTCTTGCCTTCTCATCAATACGATGGCGCCAACTTCTACCCCAGAGTGCGACTGCCCAAACACTGAGAGCCCCGACCACCAAGAAGCCAGCAGAAATGGTGCTGAACCATCCAACCCCAATAACCTTGATTGCTGGAAGTACGACAGCCGATCCAGCGGCACCAAAAAGGTATCTTACCATAAAGTTGCCCGCAATCACCTCCGCGCTGCGTCCTTGTATTACGTCCAAGCAGTACGTGTTCAAACTGGGGAAACAGAACAGCTGCGATACACCCCCCAAGAACATGAAAACGACGGGTACAGCAATTCCACCAACGCGCTGCTGGACTGTCCATCCGTAAATCAGCATACATCCCGGCAGCACGGCTCCCAAGAAGGGAAGGCAAGAGCGCAGCCGGTCTTCGGAAATGCGTCGTCCGTGACGCTCGGCTATCCAGCGCCGAACTGTATAATCGGCATAGCGGCCACCTACGAGGGTACCAGCAAGATAGCCGCAGCCCGGAGCCAAGTAGAATAAGCCCGATTGCGCCGGCGACGTCAAAGAGAAACGTGGGTTGAGAACGTATCGGATCGGGGTCAGCATGCCGTACATGTTCCATACGAGCGAGCCACTGGCGATTGCCACCAGGATGAGGTTCGGAAACTTGAATAGTCGAACAACTCTGACCGGGTTCGTCATACCCCATAGCACGCTGACCTTTCTACTGAATGCAAGCCCTTCGAGGTCTGCTTTTTTGAGTTCTTGTAGCGTCTCTGGCATGAACAATATAGCACCTCCGACGCCGACGCCTGCGAGCGCGGTTTGAAGCCAGAAGATGGCGCGCCAGGATGTGTAGGTCACGATGATGCCTCCAAGAACTGGGCCAATTGTCGGTCCAATGAGTGTGCCGGATAAGAACCAACCCATCGCAGTCGCGCGTTCTGTAGGATGATACAAATCGCCAATCACAGCGGGACCGGTGACGAGAAACGATGTTCCGGCAAAAGCGGTAAGGATGCGGAACACGAAGAAAGCCGGCACGTTGGGACTGAGTGCTGTGCCGATCGAGCAACCCAGAAACAATGAAGCTGTCACCATGCACGTCTAGATCAATGTGTCAGCCATATCCCCTACATTGATGAACAGGCGACAGCTAGTTGACAACGGACTCGTCGCGAGATGAGAACTGGGGTTTGTAGGGAAACTAGTTACCCATTTTCGGCCGTACACTTGGCTCAATGGTCCCCAAAAACAGGGGCTAATGGCCATAAAGACAAGGTACAACGCATTGCTAAGACTGATAATGTCTCCGCTAGTCTTGTACTCGGCTGCGACCTCAGGGAGCGCTGACAAGACCGCCGTGCTAGAGATTGGTGACAGCAAACCACACCAGGAAATGACGGCAACAGTGATGTGTTTTCGGTGCTTCGAAAAGCGGTTGTAAATCTCGTAGGGCACTTCCACATTGGATTGATGACGGGCCACTGGATCGTCTTGGTAATTGAGGACTCCGGATGGAAGCTTTGTCAAGCCTGGTTGCGACGAATCATCTACGACAATAGGGTGAGCTACCGAAGTTTGCAGCTCCACTGGCTGGGCCAAGACGAACCTCCTTTGGCAGTTTTGGACTTCGCAGGGATGATGTCGGCATACTCCTCAATGTCGTCATCGCGCCTATCTGAAGAAGTTCTCTGAGATGAGTCTCCTTGTTCGTGAATGCTGCTGTCGATTGCCATTGTGGGCCATTTGTTCCCAGACGAAGATTATCATCCAGCGTTCTTCTAATTGAATGGTACAGGAAAAGTCGACAAAGACGAGAAGCAAAACTTGTTTCCGCGGCGGACGGAAATGGGCCACTGATATGGCGGCCGATATCCGTGACTAACCCTTCACTAACTGGGGCCGACTCGGCAACACCCGAAGCCTGGCTCCGGACATCGGGACTGTTGCACCTCTCGGAGGGACGATGCTGGCATTCAAGCGCAAATCCAAAGCGTCTGGGATCTCCGGATCCGCAGATATTGAGTCAGGTGTACCGGCGTGACGGCAAGTGTCCGAAAACCACAGTCCTCGCAGTCAAAAATACAATCATATTTACTCTTGCCCTCTAAGATGGCAATGCTTCCAGGTCTTCTTTCATTACTTGTCTATTCCGCTATCATACCATTGAACTATTTACTTTTGGTTGAGAGGAGAACCAGTTCGCGCACACTACAACCAACCTGCCGGATGGCCGACCTGGACGGGTGCTCCGACGCCGGACCCGTCCTGTAACCGAACTGGAACTTGCTCCACCGCATTGGTTGACGCTGCGGAAGATGCGTCAAGTTCCGACGCCTCGGCAAGGAATTCTTATCGTCGGCTATCCGAAAACATGACTTTGAAAGAAGATTGTCGCGATATCCACCAATGAGTAGCCGGTTTAAGTGGGCTGTCCCGTATTGCCATGGTAAGTCCGGCGAATCCCCCAAGCCTCTTGACACTTTTTGGAATTTGGCTGGACTCTGGAGTCTGGACAGGGAACGGTGACACAGCGTCTGCATAATTGTCAGAATACGCTTCCATTGAAGACACAAGGATACTGTGCATCTCGGAAGCACTGCGCGATGCAATTGACGTGGTAGGTTCGGCGGTAGAGTCTTTGCTCCTGAAGAGCTTTAAGTGGTCTACCGCATGACACTTCGTCATACGGCACGCTTTATTGGATGTATTAGTCCTTGGGAGCATTCTACACAGTAATGCTATTGTCTTTCACAGAGATGGCGGAGAGTTGCCAAGACTCCCCGCCCGGGCCGAATCTTGAACTTACCGGCATAAATGAGCTTTGTCGGCTCCCGGGGGTAGCCGAAACTACCTTAGCAATCATCAGAGTCTTGCAACAGCACCCCCGACAAGAAGAGACCGTCCCCGCTCCGTGACCGCCCGGCATTGATTCAAACCTGGAATCGGACGGTGGTCGTTGATATTGGCGAAGAAAAGCCCCTCCCAAAGGCCGAACGGCACGGGATGGCGTGCTTTTGAAGCGGGTATAGGATCCAGCTGTGAATGGCCAACGCTAATTAACCTTCTCGAGCACATTGCCAGATGGGGTAATGAGGAGTACCAAGCAGAAGAGGTTTGCTGGGTCAGGCACAGCAGAGAGATGAACGTGGAAGAAAGTTCCGTATTGCTTAAGCTTTGAGGGCAAATATTCACAATATTGAAAACACCTGCAGGTAGGCTAAGATACGCGATACGAGCGTTGCCCCTCGACGTACTCACCAATTCTTCCTAGCGCAGACAGCTCCAACAACAGACATTCACATGCACATAAGCTCAATTCGCCAACTTTGAGATGTAATTAAGCCGACCGTGAGCGGCTCGTACCACTAGGAAGAATGCTTGCCAGGTGCCTTTCTCGGTGTAGTGCCTGGCGATTCGGCAAGATGCACTTCTTTAGGCGACCGAACCAATAGCGCCAAAGTGGTGTCCCGGTGTGCATGAAGAATCCTGTCTTCAGCCCCTTAGCGAGCTCCCCACGTGCTCCATCGAGTGGCTGACGACAGTCCTCGAATTGCACCCTCTCTCCAACACGCCGCGGCCTTCCCAGGCTGCAGGCAGTAATCTCCCGCGCGATGGATGTCCCGCAGTGCACTCAGTGTACCAGCTATTTGGTAACGGGCCCGTTTGGAAAGACCCTTTAATTCGAACCCCATCGCCACGTTGTGTCACGGCCGATCCGAACCTTGCCGGACTCACGGACGTGGAGCGGCTCCTGGGCATTTCACCTGTCTACATTGTCCAAACTCATGCAATAATTATTTCCGAGTCATGGCTGTCGATGTTGAAGAGCTCATTCTCGCCCCTTTCCGCGAAGTGGTAGAGAGAGGGGAGGAGTCTGCGAAGAATGCACACGATGCACAAGATGATGATCCAGAAACATCCCGAGAAATGGCCAAGTCGGCAAGCATGATCGCAAAAGAAGGCCAAAGGGCACTGAAAAGATTACAACCTCTGTGGAATAGCCAGTTCGAAAAGCATGGAGATGTCTTCAAAGACACCATCGCCGAGAACGGTAAGTTGAGCCATCGAATGCCTGGAATGTTATCAACTGACTGGTGTCCGAGTAAGATGACTTGGCGGAGAAAAGGAGAGCACTTGAAGAACTGCTTTACGACTTTGAGGATTACATTGAGTTGGATACTTTCGACTCGGCGAAGTTTACCGATATTCAGGCTGCGACTCGAAGCTTTGCTCTAGTGGTTTTGGACGCTATCCAGAGGGTGAAGATCGACGTCAAGACTTCGACCACGCCGGTGCACAAGTTCCCGCCATTACCGCCTCTACCGCCATTACCACCGCAGTTGGCTCAGTCACTTAGCGCAAGTCCGCAGATTCGACCAGGACCGCCTTTGCGAGGTGGAAGCCACGGAGCCACCAATACATCATCATTTCCTGCCGTCCCGCGGCAACCCAAGCCGTCAGCGAGCCGTAGTCGTACGAGAGGCTCCCATGGATCTTCGGATAGTGCGACCGTGAGGCGGGCTCACTCTATAGCTGAGTCAACAGATTCAGATCCTGCGTCATCTCGTGAATTCTCAGGCGCTGCTTCTTCCAGCAGAGAGGACCGGCGACCGTCATCCCCAAGTCTTCTCAGTGACGGAATGGGCAAGCTGAGGATTGTCACATCGCCAGAACCTTTACAACCCCGGACATCAGATTGGGTTGAAGAACAGACCTCTGTTCCGAAAGCTAGGCGACCTTTCCGTGGAAGCATCCCCGAAAATTCCGCTGTGGGTGATGATGCATTCAACGATGGTACATTCGTAACCCGAATTCATCGAAGAGGCTTCGACACAGTGACGCCACAAAGCTCAGTATTCGATCCAACAAGCCCTTCGACTACAAACAGAACGTCGGTGTACTCCGATGTTCCAACCTACTCTTCCAACGTGACTTCGCCTAAGCTTCCAACCATCGATGTGCGGATGTCACCAAGCGCAGGAATAAAATCATATCCGAGTCTTGCCATCGATTTCCCATCTTCCGGACTCTTTACAGATGGACTGATGTTGGCTGATGAGCAAACAGCTTCGGAGACTAGTACGCAACACTTGAGATCCATCTCAACAGTGGAGAAGGAAGAAGGATGTTTGATAGGGCCGAAGAGTTCGTTTCATCAGCTCAAGGGATTCTGTGACGGCGCACAAACATTTCGCAGAGGAGGGTATTGGCATGGCATCAAGCAGACCATGACTTGGGTAAGTCGAGCCTCACCCCCCGAAAACATTTGGAAGGCACGTAAGCCAGCTTGAGAACAGTACGGCTAAAACAAGAGCAGGGCGAGCCACTTCCAATCGGCCGGTGCATGGATTGCGAGTATCATCATTTGAACAGATCGCTAACTCTAGACAAAGAGGGTGACTGTAAGCCAACCCGAGTTTCCATTGATTTGCCTTGCTATTTCTGACGCCTCCAAGCTCGAGCAAACTTTCTGAAGTATGGCATACTCTACCGTGTGCGTTTGCTAGTCAAATCTCACATCGCGGTGAAAACAACAGCGGAAATCCGATACGCGTGTCTATTCTGTACCCATATCGGACGCACCGTCCACGAGGGGGACGCAACTGTCTTCCAGAGCGCAGATCAGCTTCTTCAACACCTCTCTCGTCATCCACAGCCTCTTCCCGAAGTTCCTGGCGTTACTGTCTTGTATGGTCAAGTGGATAAAGACCATCATCAAATCGAGGATTATGATGTCCATTTCCCATCGCCTCCAGCTCCAAATGCATTCCCCGACAATGACATTCTCACCCAGTTTCCCGTCGCCACGGCTTTGAAGAGCCACGTTCAACGGAGAGGCGAGAACTTGTTGGGCCCTGACGGTAGCTCAAATGTGCTCACATTCTTCCTTGGCGCAAAGATTGTCGGTGTTGAGTTTCCGGAGCAATGGGGCGGCAAGTGGTGCACCGGGTGGCACGACGGCATTCAAGGACCCTTTCCAGCCAAATACGTTGAGATTGAGAGTCCAAAACAGAATGAGATTTCGTTCCAAGCTACCAGCGCGGTATCGATCACCACGAGATGGAGATGGGACCCTCCCGACAACTCGAGAGCAGGCTGGCTGACGTTTGGGAAGGGGGAGGTGATCAGAAACGTTGGGTGTAAGTGTTGTTTCTCTGCCTTGAGTGACTAGTTAGGCTCCATGCCAGTGCTAACCTAAGCATCTTCAGGGCTTTATCAGGATCATTGGTGCTGGTCTGGAACGAACAGCAAAGGGAAGTTTGGCATCTTCCCTCAGTCACACATCAGCCCTCAGTCTCTGAAAGAGGGCTATTTACCGCCAATCTTAAAGCGAACACAACCCAGCGGACCCATGAGGTTGTTTAGTCGAAGAAGAAAAAGTACTAGTACAGCCTCCTCTATGAGTGGCGATACTTAGTGTAGAATGATGTGTGCAATAATTCCATGCGTCACTCCTTCCCACTATCTGGAATGGCGTTGATTTTCCCCAGCATGTTTATGGTGTCTGATATCTCAATAACCAATCTGAATCAGCACATCTGTATTTGTGGCAAAATCTTCAGAAACTACCAAGAAGACTTTTAAAATGCAGTAGGGACCAGATATCGTGTTCGAACCTCAAGAGCAGTCTCCGCGCTGTGCAATGTGAAGATTGTGGTACGAGAAGCCCTCCTGAGCAGTGGCCTCCACTGGTCACTTTTCGCAATCGCTTCCAATCAGTAACTCGAGTTTCGAGGTGTGAGATTATGAGACGCAGCCACTCATCAAGTATTGGAGCGTTGGATTAGGCACGATTTGAG